GAGGTGGGCGTCGATGCGGGAAGACGTATGGTCAGGGCATCGTTATCCTTGCTATTCTTGTGGTGTGATCGACCATGTGTGTTTGACTGAAGACCAGAGTTAGTGGACCAAAGTTGTTGGATCATGCTGAATGGAGAAGCGGATTAGGCCAATTTTAGCCATTGGGTCAGTCCAGAACAGGAGCCCCCTAAGTCGTTGCTTCTGGGAAGAGGAGTAATGACTTAAGACGTGGCCGCGATCGAGGGACATTTCGTGATTTTTCAAGGACAACTTCGTACGAGGAGCTCGAGTGTTGCTCGACTTGCAGGGAGGAGAACCGTTAATTGGGTATGTGGAGCTTGTGTGTCACGTTTGCATCGAGCCATGTGATGTCATAAATGTGTGATGATGGCAAGTCTAGGGACTAGGGCATGGTGATGACGACCCCTAGATTTGTTTTATAAATTCAGATTTAGTTTATTTTTATGTTATGGTTTTGGGGAAAATTTTTCTCCCAACTCCATCAACCTCCAATTTTGTTAGGATACACTTAGATAACAACTACGGAGCTTGCATATGGATGATAAGGGGTGGATTGCTCTTCGATCAACTCTGACAAACCGGTAGATTTGCAGTTCATTTCTCTTTTTCTTCGTGTATTCTCTATTGGTTGGGTTTGTACATGTATTTAATTTGATCTTATGTATATTTATCGCCCTTGGCGTTATATAAAAGTTGCTTTACAAATCTTTGTCGATTGTTATCCTTAATTTTTGCTCTGTGCTAGGGATTTGAGTTGTTATAGACATATACTGCTTAGATTCTTATCTAGGATGATTATCTAATACTGTCTAAATTCTAGAGATAGATTTAGCATTGTTATTCACTTAGAGTGTTTGTGATAAATGCCTATGTGTTGTTTGTGTCGCTCTGAGGGACTGTCGATGCAAGCAAGCACAATTGACTTTTATGTTGTTGAGGTGGTTGAGAGATCACTATCGAGGTAATGTAGTCAGCCTCTCTATTTAGGTTAGAAATGACTTAGGTTGTGTTTGACACGTGGTGACATTGATGAATATTGTAAGTTTAGTATAACAGGTCGATAGATTTAAGTCTATGAGAAGTAGTATATATACATGCTTAATAAGTTATTCCTTTTTCCTTTTTATGCATTTATTTTTTGTTGATACTTTTCCTTTCAACCCATTTATCCCCAAACTCATTAACAAGAGATTTGTCAAACGTCATTTCAATTCACCAATATCTGTGGACACGATACAATATAACCTAAATATCACCCAGTAAAATAATATTTTACTTTTTGCTTGCCACTTTACTGCACCAGCAAAGACACTTCTTCGAATGCTTCCACTGAAGTCACACTATCTCAACCTTCAGCTTCTAATTCTCTTCCCAAACCTCTTCCAGAAAACACTCTCCAAACATTACTACATTTCTTTTAATCCTCTCATGCGTTGGTTCAATGATTGCCTCACACCTTTTGATGAATTCAAACAAAAGTTTGAAAGAGTTGCTCGGAACTCTCTGAGCTATGTTGTTGTGAAATCTTCCAACAATATGGATTCAAAATAGGTAAACTACATTTAGACATACTTTAGGAAGTGGATGGATGATAACTCCAACATCATTTAAGCTTTTTGTCATATGGAAGTTGTGAAGAAGCACAAGGTGTGGCTTGCTTCTCAAACACCTTCTTCGGCTATTCTTTGTTTGTTTGCTCCAGAAGTAAGGATTCCAGAAGAAGAAGCTTATGCTATGGAAATTCAACCTTTCGATGTTGCTGTTTTTGAGCTGGTTGTGTCTTGAAAGACTACTATTGAAATTGGTAACTCTTTTGAGTATGTGAAGACTGTTGTTGTTGAAGAGACTCCTTCTAGGATAAAGGAGACTCTGAGTGAGCTGATGAAGACAAATTCTTTAATCCAAGCTAGTTTGGACAAGAAATATGCACGAGCTGATCGACATGGTGCTTTTATCACTGCACTTGCCAACATGTTGAAGGATTTGATGGCCAGGATTTCGCCTCCTCCTCCTCAGAACCCTTAGACCTTTATTTTACCTTTGTTTTTAGAACTAAGATGTTTTCTGTGTTTGTAAAACTTTTTGTAATTTGGCCTTTTGGTTAATGGAAATGTTTTCTCTGTCTTTTTAATCTTTTTGATTTCTGACAAAGGGGGCGAAAGTGATATGATTTTGATATATTTATTCTCAAAATATAATTTTGATATATCTATTCTTAGAATTTGTTCCTAAACATGGTAAAATGCCTACGCCACTATAGTTTTTTGACTTAGGAACTTTGAGAAAGTTCACTTAATTTTGCCTAACTGGAAAACTCAGAAGCTGGAGATTCAGAAGTCATGAGTTATAAAAAACTTCTAAAAGAAGAGAACTCAACTAGAGTCTGATGGTATATCAAGTCTATCAAGACTCTGTTACAAGGCTTTGATACTATTAGTCAGACTTTGTACACCATAATATTCTAAAAGTAAATCCAGGATTTGAGATGAAGATTTCTGCAACATTTTTCAGACTCTAATGGTATACCAGGTCACATACCTCATCAAACTCTAATAGCAAGCTAGAATACAAGATGAAGATTTCTACATCTCTAGTCAGACTCTGATGGCACATCAATTAGGGAGGTGTTTCTTTCTTGCTGATTGATTGATGTTATATCTCAAAACTTGTTTAAGTCTTGAACTCAAAATGAGACCTTGAACAAGATTAAACAAGTTCTGGGATCATAGAACTCAGGGGGAGCTTCTTAGCTAACTCTGAACTGTTTTTATGTGATTAAACTGGTATAAATTATTTATCAAAATATATGGTTTTGCCATCATCAAAAAGAGGGAGATTATAGGAACACGATTTGCTTATGCGTTTGACCTTGAGTTTTAATGATAATTTACATGGGTGATTACATAACAATTTAGTACCCCTAATGGTTTGTTTAGTGTGTAGCTTTTTCTAACAGGTCCTGACTCTGAAGAATTGACGCGTGACTTCATCAGATTCTAGACTCAACGCACTGAAGGATACAAGTTTGTGTTTCATAGCTTAGAATGTGTCTTAAAACAACGGTTCTGATGAACATTAGTTTTATTTATTCTAACTGGGACTTTATACTAGAGCTTCTAATATGTTCTCAAGCTCTAAAGATTTCAAGTTCTCTTGCGTAAGTTCTTAAGATTCTAAAGACAAGGTTCTGTTGAACGAGTTCTGATGATTCTGAAGATCAACAGTTATCTAGACCAACTTCTAAAGACTCTGAAGACAAGGTTCTATTGAATGAAGTTCTGAAGACTCTGAAAAAAAAGGTTATAAAGACTCTGAATACCGAGTGGTGAAAACTCTGAAGACAAGGTTCAGGTTGAACAAGTTATGAAGACTGTGATGACATGGTTATAGAGACTTAGCTTTGATCCTTCTACGCATGCTTCAACCATTATACATCCAGAAACCTCCAAAGATTAGAAGAGAAGATCAAAAGGGTTCACGTGAGTAATAGTACAAGGTACAACATCACCTCACCTTCATTACGCTTTTTTTGTGGCACAAGGACAATATTATTGTACGAGGTTGTCTACCACTCTCACTGACTGAACAAGAAGACAACTGAATTTTGGTATTCCTATTATACCCTTCAACAAATTTATTTTTAGCTATAAAAAGAAGAATTATAAGAATTGAAATTGTGGAAGAACTTTAAAGAAACTCACGCTTATTCAAGTTGATGAAACACTACCAAAATAACTCTGCAAGTCTTGTAAAGCAAGGAGTTGTTGCTCATTAACTTGCTAGCAATGAACTTTTGTTTGTTAACTTGCTTAACACTTTTGTGTTATTATTTGTACTTCAATTTTGTGTAATCTGCTTTTGAGAAGCAATCTTGTAAACACAAAAACCTGTATTCAACAGTGAGTTGATTTTTCCTTGAGTGACTAAGTGTTAGTCTGTATACTCAAGAAGTCATTGACAAAGTATTTTTGAGGTTTTGTTCCTTGAGAGACTATGGATTTAGTCAGGATTCTCAAGAAGACATTGACAATTGGTCTTTATGGTTTGCAACAGTGACATATAGTCTTGTTGTGGTTATGTAATCAGTTTGGTTATAGTGGATTAAGTTCTTATTGAGAAGACAAAATTACCTTGGCGGGTTGACTAAATTAACTTCATTAACAGTGAACTAGGATAAAAATAATTATGTTCATTTATTTTTATTCTTCTGTTAAGAGTTAGTGTTTGAGTTTCGAGAAATTTTATTTTGAGAATCCCAATTTAAACCATCATTTCTTGTGTTTTTTTTACCTTCATTTATAACTATTGTAATGCAAATATAATTATTCTAGTATTGTAGTATAAACCTTTTTTTTTTATAAGCAATGATTATATTCCAAAGAACAAGAGTACAAGGGATACTCTAAACCCAACAAAGTCAATGCTAATGTAATGATCAACAAAATTTGACAGAAAAGTTAAATACAAATATTGATTCCTCCTAAAGGACATGCATACCAATCATACAAAGAACCACATGAGGGAGAAGAACTACTCAATGACATCCATCTCCAAGACATAATTTTAATTGAAGCTAAACAATCTTCAAAACTAAAGGCTTTACCTTTGAACATAATGGCATTTCTCATTAACCAAATGTTCCAATTTGTGGCCAGCCAAATCACCCCTAATCTATTCCGCAAATTCACATTCTTCACGTGCTCACTGATGAAAACAAAATTCGTAAAAACTTCCGACAATGTTCTAGCATAGTTTCTCAGCCACTTCTCAATAGACCCCTAAATTCTATTTGTCACCAATCAAAGATTGAAGAGATGAATATCATCTTCATATTCTTTAAAACAGAAAGCACAACAAGTGTCTCTTCCAGCAACTAAAATATATCTTTGTAGCAGTTGATCTCGTGTTGAAAGTCGATTAAGAATCCTCCTCCACCCGAATACTAACACATTTGTCGGCACTGTTATGTTCCACAAATTCTAAAGCGTTTTCTGCACAGAGCTAGAAACAACTATTATTCCTTCATCCATGATTTCGTAGAAAGATATTACCGTGAACATCTCGCTGTCTTCCGGCTGCCACCAGAATTCGTGTGCTGTAGCAGAGTCGGAGACCAAATCTGGCAGCATCAGCTTGATTTTATTCTGCTGCAGATTCACATCCAAGGACACATGTTGTGAATGGACAAGGGGCTTCTAAAACCAGTCCACTCAATCCCTATAACTAGCGTCTGATACGCTAGTAAAAGGGGTTGCGACGATTGAAAATGCTTCCGGATACGCATCCTTTAGGGATTGATTGCCAATCCATTTTCCGTGCCAAAACAGGATACTCCTTCCATTTTTCAACCTGCAAAGAATATTGTTAGTAAAAAAATTATGAGTTGAGTCACTCCGAATATCCACCGATATAAGATCCCTCCACCATATGTAATCTCTTTTGGACACCATCCCACGATCATTAGAAAACATCTTCAGCTCCGGTGTCGTGTATCTATGTCTCAGAATCTCACACCAAAGAGCATCCTTTTCCACCAATATTCTCCATTTAAATTTGAGTAAAAAAGCCTTCATGAAAATTTCCAAGTCTTTTATCCCCAGGCCACCTAGATCTTTAGATTTGCACACGGAATCCCAGATGACCCAATGAATCGCTCTCGGATTCAGACCCTCCCTACAATAAATTTGATTGGATCATTCTAATATCCTTCAAAACCTTAATCGGTGCTTTGTAGAAGGAAAGGGTGTAGATGGGTGTTGATTTCAAAATGACATTGATTAATACAACCCTCCCTTTGAAAGATAGAAAGCGACTCCTCCAGTTTGACAATCTGTTTTTGATATTGCCTATAACCTTCTTACACATATGCGCCTTGCGAGGACTATCTCCTACTTTCACCCCTAGGAATTTAAAGGGCAGTCGGTCGACACAATAAGAGAGAAAAGTAGAAGCCGAGTTCAATATACTGTCTTCTAAATTTATGCCGTAAAGGTTGCTCTTGAAGAAATTCACCTTAAGCCCGCTCACCAATTCAAAACCTCTTAATATTGCCTTCATACCCCACAAGTTCTCCTTACTACCATCTCCCAAAATAATTGTATCGTCCGCGAATTGAAGAATATCCACGAAAACCTCTTCGTTGATTTTGAACCCTCAGAACTCCTCAATGCCCACTACTTTGTTCATTAAGCCCATAACACCCTCCATGGCTATGACGAATAAGAACGGTGAGAGAGGACCCCCCTTCCTCAATCCCCTTTCGACTTTGAAATTGTTAGTAGTGCTACCATTAACCCAAACCGACATCAAGCCGTTGAACACACAAGCCTCCATCCATCTCGTCCACTGAGTTCCAAACCCCATTTTTTAAAGAAAAAACCTCAGATAATTCCAGCTAACGCTATCGTAAGCTTTTTCGTAGTCCACCTTTAGAACCATACACCTCCTTTTCTCTCTTTTAGCAAGGTCCATTGCCTCGTTCACCACCAAAACTTCGTCCAAAATATTTCTGCCTGGTATGAACGCTGATTGGTTTTTGGAGATGATCTTGCCTATCACACTCTTGATTCTCAAAGCCAATAGTTTTGCAATGATTTTGTAGATGCATCCAACAAGACAAATAGGCCTATACTCTGATAAAGATTGAGGGTTGTTAACTTTGGGCATTAGATCTAAGAAAGAAGTCGTACCTGCCTTCGTGAGTTTAGCCTTATCATGAAAATCGTTCACACAGTCGAATATATCCACCTTAATGGTTTCCCAACATTTTTTAATGAATTCGAACGAGAAGCCATCCGGCTCCGCACTCTTGCTTCCTTCATAATTTCACGTCGTGTACTTTATTTCATGCTCAGAGAAAGGGAGCTCTAGAGAAATACTATCCTCAATAGAAAGCCTTTTGAAGGTAATGCCGTCTAGAACTGGTCTGGAAAAATTACTCTCTTGTAAAAAAAATTCAAAATGACATTTTACGGCATTCTTCACCTCGACCAACCCTTCAACTCTCCCAACTGGTGTATAAACCATGTTGATATAATTCTTGCATCTTCTATCTTTCAACGAATTATGAAAAAACTGAAATTTCGATCCCCTTCCTTTAACCACAACTGTCTAGATTTCTATCTCAAGAGGATCTCCTTAATCTCCAAGTTATTCTATATCTCCTCTAGAGCCTTAGTTCGTTCTTCTAAAACTTCTGCATTATTTCCTCCAACATTGATTGTTAAGCTATTGTCGAGATTGTTCAAAGTTCTAACTGCATTCTCCACTTTTAGGTCGACCCAACCAAACACCATTTTGTTCCACCATTTAAGTCTGCTTTTGAACATATTTAACTTCTCCTTAAGCTTGAAATCCCCTCTCTGTGATTTTGATTTTTTTTCCATTCTTCAAGAAAGAAAGGCCTTAATTCTTTATGCATCAGCCAACGGTTATTAAACTTGAATGGCTTGGGGTCTCAATCCATAGTTCTAGCTTTCATCTAAACGAGATAGTGGTCTGATATGTCCCGTTGACCCACCCACTGCCAGTAATATTCCACATGCTTACCAAGTTGGAAGACAACAGAAACCTGTCCAACCTGCTCATCACATTGCCCGCTTCGTTGAACCACGTGAACCTTCCCCAACGCTTGGAACATCAAAGAGCTCCATGTCAGAAATGAAACTTCTGAAATCCTTCATTTCCATACCTCTTCCCCTCACTCCGACACCCAACCTCTCCTCCTTATTTAAAACACAATTGAAATCCCCCGAGGCACCATTCCTCTTTCGCCGCCATTCGAAACCTTTGCACCTTCCACATGCTCCTTCTTCTCAAATAATTGCAGATGCATAGATATTTATAAAGTTATAGACACAACCTCTCCACTCAGCATTAACCCCTACAAATCCATCTCCCTTAAAACTGAAGCTCCTTCAGACCATGTCGCCTCCCTTATGACCATGTCGCCTGAAGCTCCTTCAGACCCACAACTAGACCATTCTACCTCCTTATTTCCCTAGATTTCATGAGCTAAGCTATCATCAAAAGAATGCAATTTAGTTTCTTGAAGAAAACAAATATCAACTTTACCAAATTGTATGCAATGCCCAATTTTATTCCTTTTAGTGCGACCTCCCCCACCTCTGATATTGAAAGATAAGATATTCATGGTAACCGTTGATTAGCCGCCTCCCTTCTAGCCTTGCCCTCATTGTCTCTGACCTCCATCTCCTTAATTGTGTTGATAGAAACCGTATCATCGTTGTTGCTTGAAATGCCTAATTTGTTAATAGTTTCCCAGACAATCCTTCCCACCTCAGATTCAACATTATTCCAAAAATGATTATTGCCTCGATTCACATCCGAATCCGTAGTAGGACCACAACACAACACCGAACCAACTAAAAATTGGACCTCACGACTTCCAGCATGAGGATTGTTGCCCGACACCATGGTCGTTGATACCGATGTTTCTAACTCCTCCAACTAAGAACAAATTCTGTTATTACTTTTCCGGTTAGTCACAAATTTGGGTTTCCTGGGGTGTATATATGCAAAGTAAGAAGGTTTGGCGTCGAACAGTTCTCCAAGTTTTTTAATTTTTCTTATTTTTGATTTTCCACTTTTCAACTCCACACACTCTTTATCAAAACAGCAGCGGGTTTGATCCAATTCTAAAAGCCCAATACTATCCATTTGATCTTGATCATTAAAAACAACATCCACCGAAATTGGGTCAGCAATTAGCTCTCTTAATATCCCAGGCCTAATAAAATCATTAGGCCCATTCAGAACAGGTTCATCTATATGACAATTAGAGCATCCACATCCATCATACTTATTTATATTCTTTAAATGAGACCCACATAATTTTTGATATTATTTCACACTTCTCAATTTTTTAAACACTCTGTTTACAATTCTCAAATATTCATGTAACTCATCAAAAAATCTAAAATGGATCTCATATTTAAAACAAATCAACTATATTCTTACAATTTTATTTATTAATTTATTATCATGACCCACTTAATTGGAGTGTAGAAGCGTGTTTTAGTATGAGGGCGTGCTTTAGTTCAGAAACTGAAAACAAGTGAAATATCCATTTATTATTGACCAAATTTCTTTAATAAATATGTAGGAACTCTCGAAGAACACCGATAATCATGCTCTTAATGGCTTTCTGAAAACCATTTGTGGCACTGAGACCCAAACACCCTCCCAAACCTCCAATAGCCGTATGGGCCCTCCTATTAAAATACAAATTCGAAATATCTTCGTCATTCTTAGACTTAAACGTATCTATTCTTCCAGCTAGACACGTATCCGCCTCAACACCTGTGCCTGAACCCGCGGACCTAGAGCTCTTAGCTATTTTAGGATTGATAAAAAACTCTGAATCTGATACTGCCTTTTGTAAATATGCACGCTGGTTAATCATGAAACTAGGAAGTCTCTTCTCCAAGGCACTAGAATCATAAACTACCATCACTCTATTACCAAGAGTATCAAGAGACATAACATCCTCCCTCCTATGCCTAGGTTCTGTAGCCTCCTTATTGGCATCGATGCCCGCGACACCACCATCTTCCTCTTCCCACTTTTCAGATCTAAGCTCCACAGAAGAATCATCATCCGTGGAATCCTTTGCAATGCTTTTGTTCTCAGCCATTGTATTTATCGGTCCTTAAGTCTCCTCTATCAGTTTGATTCTGAATACAGACATATTAATTTGGACATTAACAACTTCATTGATCACCCACCTAGTCCTAACCATAAACCTTGCTACATCCATTTTTGAGTGATTTGACGTAGAATCATCGCAACATATGAGAGTACCAAGAGTAGAAGAAAGAAAATCAAAGAAACTATGAACGCTTTCTCAAATCTAGACATAGCATCGTTATCTAGTGTAAACTTCAGATGAGTCTTAGATTGGTGCTTATATGGATCTTGAATCAGACGTGATTCAACTCCTCTCGTAGCCTCCACGTATGACCTACCATTGCCTCTGAAAAATCTCCCCCCAGGGGGTGATGAGCCGCTTGCTTCCCTCTCCAGTTGTTTTGTTCTCTTCTCGCCACCGGGTCTTCTTCCTTCTTCGTAGCCTTCCCACCGCTCTCCTTCCTCCTATCCCCTTGCTCCTTCCTCCTAAACCTAGGAATGTTGGCATACAATTTTCTACCTTCGATAAATGTGCTGTCGAGTTTTACAACCATCACTCTTTCATCCCCTATATTAAAAAACCTAGCAAAACCATATTTCTTCCCTCTCTTGTCGCTGAACGGCGGAATGACCACTTCATCAATATCCCCATATTCCTTAAGTACTTCATACAGATCTTTAGCTTTCAAGTGATCCAAGACGTTATGAAAAACATTGAAGTTGATGGACCTCCCTGTCTTCCCTTCGAGCATTCTGCATCCCATTTCCTACTGTGTTTTCTTGCTAACTGATTATAGGAAACCTTTGTCCAACCTCCGTTGTTGCTGTTCTTCGAACCTGCCAAGGTGTTGTTTCATAATGTGGCTGTTGTCTATTTCAATATACCACTGCTTTTTTATACTTTGTTCCGCATAATGATAAAAATAATCCTTAAAATATATGAATAGGAGACGATTTTAGGAGTCAGTTTAGACCAGGAACATGATTTTCTACTTCAAAGGAATGATACTTTACCAAACCTAGTTCATCAATTATAAATTGATGGTCGATTGAAGTATAAACTTAAAAAGACTCCATGAGTATTTGATATATTTAAATGTGAGTTTGAATATACAAGTCTTTTTTTACTACTAAAACAACCAACTTTCTCTATCAATTAAGATATACAATAATTAAAATCTTAAAGGACAAACAAATGCAATCGTTATTTTGTCTTACAAAATAAAGAGGTTTGAAAAACACAAATGTATGTGCACATTTCAAAAATCAGTATCGCTATTGTATTACACTCCACTGTTACATCAACATTAGCTTCATGCTTGTCATTACAAAATACAATATGATACTTATTACTTTTTCCTTTTTTCTTTTGCAAAAAGTACTCAATGTGATTCGATTACAAATTATTCTCATGTCTTTCCTAAGTTTGATGGAGGCAAAAAGCTTTCAGCAGTCAAACCCCAAATATTAAAATCTACCTCTTCAATCTTCCACCTTTCTTCCAATTCCCTTTTGTGATTTGCTGATTGTTCTCCATATCTTGAAACTGTAACACGAGTTGTGCCACTATGTGACACATTTATTCCATCTACATATTTATAATCATCAATTACTGATTCTAAACTTGTTTCCCAAAAAATGTCAGTGTCATCTTTGGTTCTCATTGTTAGTAATCTAGAATCTTCAAATTGAACTAAGAGACCTGATCTTTGGCTAAAATAACCCCATATTGTGTGATGAATTACTTCAAAATTTGGTCCACTTTGAGCCTCACGAATTGCCGGACTTGTTTCGAGTTTTAGAATGAAGCATTCTTCTTCATTGATTATTTTCTCACCTATACATGCAGCATCTAAAAATAAATTAGCCGTAGCCCTTGGATCCAATCCCTACAAAAAAACAAGATTATTTTCTCATTTTTAATATGTAAGCACATGATTAATAAATATTGAACCGTATACATTATTCAATATATTGGATCAAATACATTGATTATTTTATTAATCGTAAATTTTTTCTTATAAATAAAGTTAGAGGTAGTAATATATATATATACCTGAAGGAAACGACGAAGAGGTCTAGGAGCACCTTTTGAAATAGGTGTTTGTTGGTTTGAAGAATGACGCCATGAAAGCTTACCATTGCTACCACAACAAACTTTGCAACCTGAGACAACAAGCTCTAAGCACCATAAATCTGGATCTTTTTGCCATAAAACGAATCCTCCATTTTCTTCAGAGGTTTTTTTAACCTCAACGGTTTCACTAGTATGATGAAAATCTGATGCTGTAATTTTAACTTGCCCCATTACACACATACTTTCCACACCATTCAGTGCTGCTTGTCCTCCCGTTGCTGCTATATATTGTTGTACTATGTACTTTGCCGTTGATGCTTCCTACCACATAATCAAATAACATGTTATAATGTTATGTATGATAATAAATTTTGTGCATGCATGCATACATAAAGAAAACATGTATGTATGTGTATGTGATGTTACGTACAATGGAACAATCTCTGACGGGGCGATGAATGGAATGACCTAATTGAACTTGAAGGGGTATAAGAGGAGAACCAACAAGGTAAAGTAAAAAACGAAGCTCATTTAAACGTGCGGTAACCGTAGGAGAAGACAATCTATCTTCAGTTTGAGCCTTCATCCATGTTAACATATTCTGCCACCTTAATGTTACAGTACTTCCCATGTTTGAAAACATTTCTTCAGGTATAGGTATTTCAAGAACAGTTTCCAATCCATCTTCTTTATCGATGTTTGGACATAGCCTCCTTAATGATGACTTTGAAATTGCTTGTTTCATTTCATTAATTAAGTTTGAGATACAAACAATGATGAAGTTGATTGAAGATGTGACACCAGTGAAGAAATGGAGAGAGAGAAATCATCTTTAATTAATGTATGCAAAATGAGAGGATGTCATTAGTTAGGAGTCTCTCCTTGCTTATAGGTCTTGTGTGGGCACAAATTGTAGTTTGTTATGTTTCATTGTTTTTGTTTAAGTTTCTATTTAAAGATTTAATCTATAACTTTTTAAATAAATTCGAGCTTTCATCTATGCACCATTCTCTTAGTTATATTTTAAATACTAAATATTTCTTCATGTAAAAGGAGAAGTTATATATATATTATATTTCTTCATGTAAAAGGAGAAGTTATATATATATATATATATATATATATATATATATATATATATATATATATATATATATATATATATATATATATATATATATATATATATATATATATATATATATATATATATATATATATATATATATATATATATATATATATATATATATATAACTAACTTTATAGATTATAGAGTAAGACCATCACCGTGATATACCCACAAAATAATATAGACATGTAATTGTTACATTTATTTCTAGAAGAACTCTGAAATATCTGGTTACATCCAACTTTATTAAATTTTTTATTAAAATACAAAAATAATCTCGATTATATAGATTTTTTAATCTCTAAATCACCACCTCTGTCACGCACACAAATATTCGTTGGTATGTGATTAAATCTGATACAAGAATAAAGTTAAAATCATATTTTTCACTTCCTCTAAATATAAAAATAATCGTATATTAAAAGTAAAAAGAGCTTAAGTGAACTCAACTCATTTATATCTTTTATGATACAAAAATTGATTTTTTTTGGAATAACCATGTATTAAATTTTTTGTGTGCAAATAACCATGTTTCAGAAAAAATTACGCAAATAACCATGTTTCAGATGACTCCTCAAAGGAGGAGTCATCTCACTTGGCGCCTACACCTACATTTTAAGGGGAGGCGCCATCTCACTTGTCGCCTAGGTGCTTAGGGCAAGCCCTAAGCCGAGTGAGATGGCGCCTTAGTTCATTTGCTAGGGCAATTTTTGCGTTTTTTTTAATGCAGTGTGTTACGTATTCGATATAGGATCAACAAAATTGATTTTTTATTTACAAAATATGATTACACACATAAGTATTACATAAAAAAAACAGATTAATCAATGGTCCCTCGGAACCCGGTAATGACCCCCGGTTCCGCATCCCCGTCCTCGCCTTTCCCGTGTTGGGTTTCGTCGCGTTTCCTACTGTGGCAGGGTCGATGGCCCAACGAAGTCAATGCGTTCCGGATCCATGAAATCAGTCAGATCTCTATATCTAGAAGATCCGCTTTGGTACAGTCGGTTACCCATATCCTCAAAGTTTGGTCGTGTTGGCGGTGGGTGGGGTTCCATGGTTGGTCTGTAGTATTGGTCGTCTGAGTACGGGGGTAGAAAGAAAATTGATCTTGGGGTGTTTGGTATTGAGGATGTTGGATGGTTTGGTGATATTGTGGTTGACGGTAAGTTGGGTCGGTTGGTTCATAATCTTCCGACATTCCCAAATCAGGGCTAAGGTTGGATGTTGAGGGGCCTATATTGGGATATGAAGAAGACTGAAATTATGTGTGGGGTATGCAGGTGTGTTGGTATTGTGATTGAAATTGCGGTTGGGTGTGAGGCATATGGGGGTATTAGTACTGAGGTGATGATTGTGGTTGGTTGTGGGGCATATGGGTGTAATTGTATTGTGGTGGCGACTGTGGTTAGGTGTTTGTGGTTCCGTTTCGTCTGGGGGGTTGGTGGGAGGTTGATGTGTGTTGGGTTTGTTGTTGGGGAAATGAAGGTTTAGAAAAGGCCTCTTTTTCAAAATACTTTCAAAAAACCACACCACAAACACATTCTAACAAAAGCAAGTGATCTAACGAGTAACTAAGAGCCCATGGAAAACCATGGATGAAAAGGGTGCTAACACCTTCCCTTTTCATAGTCTACCCCCCGAACTCAAGAAAACATCTCTAAAGTTTTTTCCTGTGCTTTTTCACCTTTCCTTTTGGATAAAAGAAAAGTTGATGGCGACTCTTGCTAAACCGCAACATTTGCAAACACAAATGCAAAACAAAAAGTCAGTTCTCCCACCGTATCACAGCCCCCAAAGTCAAAGGAAATAAAAACATGACTTAGGCAAAAGTTAGGGCATCCCGATGGACCGGAAATTCAAAAGAATTGGTCAATACAAAATAAGGGATTAAAAACAAATAATTTGGAGAACAATTTTGTGACTTCCACCTCAAGAATCATCAAGGCTTCTTGTGATACGGTGGCAAAACCAACTGTTAATACTGGTTTGCATTTTTTGTTCGCAAAATGTCGCGGTAAGCAAGAGTCGCCACCGACTTTTATTTTATCCAACAAGGAAAAGGAAAAAGAACAGAAAAAAGTTTTTTCAAGAATATTTCTGAGTACGGGGGGTAGATTATAGAAAGGGAAGGTGTTAGAACCCTTTCTATCCGTGGTTTTCCACGGGTGTGATACGGTGGAAGAATCGACTGTTTTTACTGGTTTGCGTTTTGCATTTTTTGTTCGCAAAATGTCGCGGTAAGCAAGAGTCGCCACCGACTTTTATTTTATCCAACCGGAAAGGAAAAAAGCACAGAAAAAAAAATCTTTTTTCGAGATATTCTGAGTACGGGGGGTAGATTATAGAAAGGGAAGGTGTTAGCACCCTTTCTATCCATGGTTTTCCATGGGCTCTTAGGTACTTGCTCATCTTTTAAAATTGCTTGTGTTTGTGTGCTTTGTTTTTGAAAATGTTTTACTTTGTGATAACCCTTGTATCAGTCCTCAAGGATGTGACGAAGTTATTTTGAAAATTGTTTTGAAGAGTGTAAGTGTGAAAAAATTTTGATTTGAGCAAGTACCTACTAGCATCTACCTACTCGAAAAAAGATCGTTTCTATTCTTGTTTCCTTTAGACATCACTATCCTACTATTGAGAAATAGGTAGCACCGTCGTTGGAATTTGTAAGGGTCAATTTGAGAGGGACGTACGATCACTAAAGCAATATTAGGATACCTTAGTAATAACCCTAGAGTCTTAAGATCTTTCTCGAGGCAACATCTTCGAGGCAACATTCGAAGGGGATATTAGATCTTTTTTAGACAGGAGGGCAACCACTAAGCATCCTATGCTTAATGACCGTTTACCGAAGGCAACCGAAGTGAGAGTATACCCTAAGAGTGATATGTGCGAGTGATTTGTTTCAGTTATTTATCTTTGCACATTAGGGTTTTCTAACTGTATTAATTTTATCATGCATTTTTGTCATACAGTCCTATTAGCATACATCTAAACAGTTAAGTATTTGCAAGAATTAAAAATGCGAGAAAGTAAATCTACGCTATTACAAGGCTTCAGAGTGGGGGATTAATTACATAGCCAAAAACCCGGGAATTTAAACAGTAAATAAAACCCTAATTTAACTATTACAAACCATGAACAATTACAAAAATATTGTCAAAGTAAATAATAAGCGTGCGATAAATTAAATGCGAGACAATTAGGGTTTTGACCCTTGACTAAACCTATTTGCGATTGATTAAAAAAAGTTTTTGTCATGTTTTGTTATTTAAGAAAATAAAGAAATAGTTAAATTAAAAAAATAAAATCCTAAGTTCTAATTAATTTTAAATTAAGAAAAATGAATGAATTCAATCTAAAAACCTATTTTTGTATTTTATTTATTTGAGAAAAAAGAGAAAATAAAATTAAATCAAGAGTTTAAACTAATTTGCTAATTAGTTTTAATTACAGAAAACAAGTTAAAGTTGCCCTAAGTTAAATTAAATTAAATTAAATTAACAAAATTAATTTTGATAAAAAAGTCTAATTCTATTTTTTTTTTTGGATTTTCTTGATTTTATGATTTTATGAAAAAATAGTAATTAATTATCAATTAAAATAAATAAAAGAAATATTAAAAGAAAAAATAAGAAAGAAAAATTAGAAGTGGGCCTGATGTTATTTAGCAATTCTGTGGGTATGTTGTTAAAATTCTGGGCCCAAACAAATCCAAGCCCTTTTGACTTCGCCTGATCTAGTGCGTACGTTGACCTGGGGCATATGGTGGTCCTTTGCTATTTGGGCTTCAGATATGATTAGCTAGGAATCCAGTGGCCAGGCATAGAGGGTGTATGGAAGGCGTATGCTACTGTATTGCATGGGATCCACCTGAAATAATCAAGAAAATGATAAAATGCACACGCTTGGGATCAAACCCAGGACGTGTGCATCAAAGGCCTTCTCCCCAACCATCTGAGCTAGCGTGTTAACTTGTAAGTAAAATGTTGTACCCCAAAATTTTCCCTCTCATTTTATCAAGATTTTCCCCACAAGACTCTTTGGACTCAAGACCCGATTAGGGTTTGCTCAGCTCAAGACATCTCCTTGCACTGATGACCTGAAATTAGGGTTTGAGTTTGTACATGGATTTTTGGACTTTAAATGCTCAATGTGACTTTCATACTTCATATTGGACCTCTAAGATTTCTCATACCATGTTTCGAGCCTTGAATCAAATTTTTGCCCAGTCAATTGGACAGTTGACCTAAAAATCAGCTATATTGGGGGAAAAGTCAACTGTGGCCAATTTATAGTCAAACCTCATAATTTTTTATCCCCATCAACATTATAGACTCATATGAACCATTTGATCAAGTTTGGACCACAACTCCTCAAGAAATTTGATCAGATCATCAAAAGGGCAAAATGGTCAAAATTAGGGTTTTGACTGTAGAAGGGCAATTTCTGATTTTTCACCTAGCCAATGGCAAATTGGGTTCAAGCATGGTTTCAAGGACTCAATGGCATCATCTTGACCTAATCACAAGGTTCAAAAGATCTCAAATGCATTGGATTGACAGATGAATTTTCCAGTCAACTGATCAAAAATCAATTGTACACTGAAAAGT